TCAAATAATTTCATTAATATTCCTAATCCCTTCAATTAGCTCATTCTTTCATTATAACAAATTAAAAAACGGAAAGAATTTCACATTGGAATTATAGATAAGAACTTACGACAAAGGAACAATAATTAAATACGGTCCATTTAATTTCTTCACTTCCATTAAATACGTTACTAATGCAATCGTCTGAATTGTCTTGCCCAGACCCATTTCATCTGCGAGAATACCATTAAGATTGTTGTTATATAAAGAAACCATCCATTCCAACCCTTTTAACTAAAAATATTTTATCACAACGAATTACATAAAATAAGAGAAAAAAAAAATGAAAAATTTTAGTAATGAAAGGAAAAAAATACATCAAAGTTGCAAGGTATAAAGGAATTATAGATTAACCTGATAAGGTTTCAGTTGTAACGCCTGGTTGCCACCACCCAATGATGAATGTTGTGTCACAATTTTCTCTTTAATTTTATGTGCTGTTGCGTAGTAAGACTCCATTTGTCGCCTATTTTTCTGATCGTATTCATCTTCTTCATTCCGAGCTTTCTCAATTATTTTACGATTTCGTGTCTCCTCGTCCATACCTGAACACTTTTCAAAATATTTATATGATCACATATTAGTAACTGATTTGGAAAAATCAGAGTTACATTACTATAGAATGTCACTAAGCAAAAAATCAGCAGCAAACCTTCAAATTCATCATCCTTCTTTTGTTCAATAGGTTCCGGGATTGGTTCATCTGGTTCTGAATCTTCACTATCTGAGTACTCCTCACGCGATACTATCTTCGAAAACATTTTCAACAATTTAGCACAGTTTTCATATTTTACCTTATAAGAGTTGAATAATCTTCTTCTAACTTTCCGAAATTAAGTTACTAAAAACAATCCCATTTGTAACAGAGTCCTTTAACAATTTATAAGCTCCAAAAGATATTAACTTCCAGTATTTTAACTTTCTGATTTACCATTACATGTCTTTAGAATCTCTGAAAAACAATTAATATTACTTCATGTCCAGGATGAGCATCAATCCAAGCATCGATGTCTTCCGATTTTGGCATTTCTTCTATAGGTAATATTTCACCAGTTTTTGCATCTCTTATGCGCACCCGTACTTCAGATTCACCGCTTTCTGCAAAATCATCGGTTTATCGGTTACACAATACAACTTCCTTCTTTGAAATTTGATATAATTATAAAAGGTTTGATAAAAATTACCTTGCATCTTTTCTTTCTCTTTTTGCTCACGACGCTCATTACGTTTTCTTCGTTTCTCCGTTGCTTGATGTTGTTTGACGAGTCCTGTTAAGCTTTCTACATACTCATCTGTTTGTTGCAATAAGAAAACCAAACGTTTGTCTTTCTTTTCATCCAGTAATTGCCTAAAAATTATATCTATAAGCGATAAGTCATGTCTACAACTCGACATGACTTTTGCACTGATATCCTGTTTAGAAAAATAGAAATTCTAGAAAAGAATTTTACCTGTAACCTTCTTCATCTTCTTGCATTAATTTTTGCATACGCATTCGCTCATTTCTCAGCTCGTCTTTCTTTCGTTCCTTTTCACTGTTGGCGTGGTAAGTTAACACTGCTTTCTTTATTTTACTTTGCTTGACCTGAAAACTTGATTTCATTCTTTAGTACAAAGTTCAAAATTTCTCGAAACAATGAAAACAAATTTAAGTCCAAAAATCACCTGATTGTTGCGATGGTACTCTTTAAATTCCTTTCCATGCTGTAAAATTGCCTGTAACAGATCATTATGTTTCTGCCGACGACGACGTTCTTGCTCAACTTTTTGTTGCTTTTCTAATTTCTCGGTAACTCGCGCTTCACGCAAAGACTGTCGCTTGGTCCGACGATATGCGTATGGATTTAGCGCAGTTTCAAGTGTTGTATCCTTCTTCAGTTGACTTAACACTTCATTTCGTACCTAAATCATGAAAATCTAACAAAGACAAGTAAAAAATCTGAAAAATTCTACTCCATCCGACTTACCTGTGTTTGCAAATTCAATAACCGAAGAGCGCGGAGCTCAATTTCTGCCTTTAACAATAACCGTTTGCTCAAATTCGCAGGAAGATTGCTGAGCCATTGAATTCGTGCTCCAATTCTATTTTGAATTCTGCAAAAAACTTGAACCGATGTACATGTTCGGAATCGCAAATCAATTCATTTTTGAAGAGTTAGAAATATTCTTATACTAAAGACAAATTTCTTTACTTGGATATCCCCACACATTTTGAACGATAAAGAGATAAATTGTTTTGAACGATCATGAGATAAATTGTTTTGAACGATAAAGAGACAAATGCTTTAGAATTCCTTAGCAATTCAAAATATCATTATTCATAAAATCAAATTCACTACATACCTGTATTCCCGTTCCTTTAGAATTGTTTGTGGATCGACTCCGGGAGGAGGAGGAAGGCATGTACTTCGGTTAGCACGTTGCTGATGCAGCGTTAGAATTTTCATCAGATCATACGGCAGCTTCTCGCCATTTTCTGTTTCAACAGGAAATTCATATGGTTCAGGAAGCAAGGAAGATGGTTTAGATACAGATGACGCGATAAGAGCTGCTGCAACCGGTTCCTGTGCTGCTAACTGTTTGTAAGCGCCAATCTGTAAATGATATGTCACAGAAGTCTGTAATTTGAATCAAAATATAAAGTGTACCTGTGCTTTCAGCTGTTCCAGCTGTACAGATGTAAATGTATTGTCCTGCGGTTCCTTCACTGCTGCTTCCGCCAGTTGATGGTGCTTCACTTCCGCCAATGGTGTTCCTGAAAATTAAAACATTTTAAAAATTATTCAAATATTCAATCAAATCTATGCCTTCATCTTTTCTTTCAAGTAATTGAACCATCTAATAATTTCAATCTACCCTCAAACATTACCTTGTGGTCCCTTTCAATGGAAAATTTATACCATTCATTCTTTACGAAAAAAGAAAAGACTTTTTAAAAAGAAAAAAAAAATGAGTCTTATGTACATATTTTATTTCTGATTAATAAGAATATTCAGCCCTAGCTCTACCAGACGTCCAACGAACCTGTAACTTTCTGTTTCAACAGCAGCATCTGTGCATAACGTGGATCTGCAGTCATTTGTTGCTCTTCCATACTTGCTATCGAACTATCTAGTTTCGCCATTGCAACTTCCTCTGCTGTTATACCATGTTGCACAGATCCTTGAACAAACTGCATCTGCGATTGCTGTAGCGGAGGAACTGTCGAAGCTGATTCGGTTCCTCCATACTGCACTGGAGGTACATAACCACTTGATACACCCATATATGGCTGTCCGTTAATACCACTAGAAGGTGTATATTTTGGCACATTGTCGCCCATGTTTAGCTGCAAAATAATTATAATTCTAATAATTTTCGGTTGTACATATGGGAATATGCAGCCGTCTTGTTCTCAGCCTTCATACCTGTTTTTCCTGTTATGAAATTCTTCCGATAATAAGTGATATATACATCTGCTCCAGAACATATTTCGCAGAAAAAACTTTCTTAAAGGGAGAGGCACATACTATAAAAGTCAACCAGAAAATATGAATTTCAAAAAGAAAAAGAAACTGACATGCTACTGTAAAGAACAGCTCATTTACATATCAACAACAGTTTCATGCATCTAATGTTATTAGCAACACGTGCAAATGACACTGCTAGAATTCTGTAATAAACTAGTGTTCGCGCATGAAAAATAGCGATACATCTACCTTGCGTGCGTGAACTCATTTATTTACTTTCCCCCTTTTGCCTTCCCTACGTCAAAACCCCGCCTCACACCGAGCACCATTCCCTCCACTCACCGCTATCCGAACTTAATGCTATCGATCAGAAATGCATGGATGAAAACTTGACGTCTCAATTTCACTTGCTGTATTTTTTTAATTAATACATCTGAACTCTAATATCTCTTGAGAAGAAATGTGACGGTTTGTCCATCGCTCTAATTAATATACGTCTTCCTTTTTTCCAAAAATAAAAAGCACAATTATTAGTCAATTCAAGCCATGGCAAGCCAGTGCGTAAATTTCCTAATACATATTATTGCAACATTTGCCACTTATCAATTTAATTTAAGGTATCACTCAAGAAGAGGTGGAATGAACTTCCTGCATTTCACATTGTCCGATGTGCATGGCTCGAGTTGGAAATATGCCTCATTAGTGTGGAATGATAGAAACTCAGACGCACATGCATCGATCACTTTCCACTAATCATTCAAAGCAGCTCATCGAGATGCCAGGGAAGTTAATGTTAAGTCAAAAAAGATTGGCGTTACTGTATTATGCATGTTGTAATCCATCAATATTATCTATTTCTCGGCCAAATGAGCATAGATTTTATTAGTTAAGAATATTATGTCAATGACTAAAGTCATAGTTGATTGGTAATGAAAAATATTGAAATTTGAGAAACTACTTCCAAGAGAATAGGTTTATTTTAAGATTATATTTTTCGTTAACTTTTAATCAGGCTGAAATTTCATCAGAAACTTGTAATTAGACTTTGAAGGACAGACTATAACTTCTATGGATTTCATTTTTGTATTTTGTATACAAATGGCCAACTTCGTTTTGTTTCTTTTGTGCAGTTCTCTTTGCAAAATACATTGTTTACTATTATTACATCATAGAAAAACGTGTTCACATTTGGAATGAAACTGAGAATGTCAAATAATAACAAATGACTGCATGAACCAATAAAGAAAAAAGTGATTTTATTTGATATGTACAAAGAACATCCAAAATGCAGCATAGAATTGAACGGGATGAAATAAAATCGCAAGGAGTAATGGGCTTTTACTGATGCAATGAACAATGAATTAAAAATAAGAATTTTGTTATGAAATAAAGTTATCAGAATAAAATCCTAAAGATGAGAGTAACTAGCAAAAAAAACCCAAGAAGGAATCTCTATCTAGAAACTTCACTATAAGAAAATAAAGAAACTGAAATATTTAACATTGAGAACTTCTACACTGAAATCGGCATTTGCTGGTAGAAACTACGCTCAATATTAAACTTTGTTTGCAGTAAGATACCCCTATCTACCAGACTGATCGATGTATTAGACAGTCGTGATGTTGCTGATTCGTTTAAACTGATACCTTCTCTAAGTATCCCATTCACCATTTTCATCATAGCACCTTTCGTTGCTTCCTTGAAACTGTCCAGTGATTGCAGTGTAAGACCGAAAAAATCGATATGTTCATGAAATTGCAGCGTTCTTATCTTTATTAATCCTGAAATAATATTAAAACATACCCTAAGATAAAGCTAGTTGAGATAGAATAAAGAATGAACGTGATATTTTAAGCATTCTCAAGATAAGCTCACACGAACAGATAAAGTAAAATCTTTCGGTCTCTTCTATCTAGAATTATTCTGTAATGCTAGATGATCACTGGACAACTAATGATGTTTTTATTGCTCTCACACATAGCATAAGACTGAACCTTCTTCAGCAAAAGTGAAAATTCAAAAAAAATTTATAATCCGAACTACCAAACTTTTGGTTTATATTGCCTGTAAGTTTGACAATTTAATCTCACCCAAACAAAAGAGTTTTCTCACAAAACTTTTGATCATACATTTACCGTATTTTGAAACTATCAGTTCCTCAGCATTTCCAAACTCCGAAGAAATTCAACTACACATTGAAATAACTCTGTAATTAATTTTAGTTTGCATTAAAACTAACCAGCAATACGACCAGGTAAGCTTATAACATTGCACTGTATTGTGGTACTGAACGGTATTAAGCCGATTTCTTCCGTTGTCCCTTCGACAAAAAATGTCGCATGCCCTTCGAGGGTCACAATAGCAGCATCTGATTTACAAAAAATTCACAATTCCAATTCAAAAATTACCTGTATTAGAAAAAATTGAAAATTTCCAAACATTACTAGTGCCTATACGAAATTTTACTTTTCCCTGGTAGACCATAAGTAATCAAACCTGCCGAAATGATTGCCCTAGGCGGTTCAGTTGTACGTATGATAATTTGAAGTTGCTTATTAGGATATATTTCGGCAACTTCCGGAATACTATCCGACAAGCAAACTTCATCTATTCCACATGATGTACGTATTAATTTACCAAGCACAGGTGTTGTTGAACTCACATTGAAAACGAATGCATCAATGCTGAAATTGTGAAATATAACAGTTAAATTAAGAAAAAATCAAAGTTACCATTTCTAATTCAATTATTAAAAGTTGAAATCACTAGGCTCGAAAGTATAGTAACGTCTAGCATATAAATGCAACTCTGACAATAGTAAACCGATATCGCAACAAAGTCTTATTACGCAGTTTAAGAAACTTAAGAATGCCAATTTTCCATCATAAAGAATATTTTCTTCATTTTAATCATCCTAATTAAACAATTGAGGATTTTGAGAAAATTATGTAAGATGACCAACAATAAAGGTTTGCTACTATTATTTTAAAATAATCAATAAATTTTAGCGTAAATATTCGTTGAGGCAGACTTGACAAATTTTAACATAGACATGTGCATATTCCAGGAGCTTCAAAAAAAAAAAACAAGAAAATATTAGCGCCTGAAACTTCGGCAGGAAAATCAAGTCTTGTATTATGCAAGTTAGCTTTCTTGTGTTAGCGAAAGGAAATACACCCGAACATTGCAATGGTTCTGACAATCTGAATGGATCGTTTTCATATTGAATAGTACATCAAAATGAAATTATTCGAACTGTTTACTTTGATCGGATTCTTACATATGTGCTTTAAGGAGGAGCGTGTTGATAGTATATTCCGATATCAGCAAGTCAACAGCATCTGCATTTATTACTTCACTGAATCGTAACATTTTCGGTCGTTGATAAAGATTCTGAAGCAGTTATTTTTTTTTTAAACGAAAATTGAGAATCATTAGAGAACTCTTAATGCTTAACGAAAGGCTTAAATTACATTAAAATGCTAACTTAAATGATATCCTCTAATCATTAATTTTTCTATTGTTATATGTATTAAAATGCAATAAGTATCACAAGTAAGTATACTGGAATAATTTCAAAAATAACGAGGAGATTTTTTGAATGATGGAATTAAAGGAACCACTTAGACTTGAAGAATTACAGGCATGGAAAATTTCTAAGTAGCTTATCACATTTATGGCTTATCACAGATAAAGCAATAGAGATAAATGAATAAAACAAACAACAGTTTGATCATATGCTTTAATATACACATCACCATCTAGTCCAATAAAAAATTTTCCATATGTTGCACTTGTGTCCAGAATACTAAGTGAAAGAATTAACAGAGATAGCTTTCTCCGCGAATTTTCCCAACTATTGTTCTATAAATAGATGAAAATTATTGAATTTTTTCTTTCAAGAAAAAACACAGTTTATATTAAAACTAAAATTTTATAGATTTTAAAACGTAATTTAAAGAAAGCAAATAAAAAAGAAAAGAAAACTAACAGTGCTTGATTTCTGAAGTGCTATATTTGTTGGGAAGGTAGACGATGAATTTAAAATTATTGGCTCCAATTTATGGCCATAAGAAGCTTTATTGAATAATCTACTTAACTGTGATTCTTGCAACATAATCCCTCCAGAAATCGTTTGCATCTTAAGTTGCATTGGAGCTACAAGTATCATTCATATTAAATAAGGCATTTAACTAATTTTCCAACATATTTTATGAAGGGAAAAAAGTACAAATATTTTCATTTATATTATATAATTTTTATAGAAGAAAATTCACCCTTCAGATAGTTTGATTCCGATTCCAAAGTCCTTTTCATTTTCTGTCCGCTTATATTATCTGAGTTCTAAAAATTACTTCAAAAAGGAACATATTATACTCAGTGCTTGATTCTTGCTTAATAACTTCATGCTTGATAACTTTCCAGAAGAAAACATTCCCAGCAACTTCTGATAGATAAGAAGCCTACTGCTGCTTTAAAAGACATGCAAAAAAAATCTACCAATTTAAAGATCAAACGAGTCAGTATTTTATGATGTTTTCGAAAACAGATTTTATGTTATGAAACCAAGATGATGCAATAAAATATGTTTATTTTAAAGGGAAAAAAAGAAGCGGTGCTTGATATACCTCGAAAAATATTTGATATAAATCAAGGATGGATATTTGAGTTGGTATCTGAAGCAGTTGATTGTTCAATTCATTATTGACCACATTATTCACAGTAATGCAAAGAGTTTCTTCTAATATTTGTCGAGTCTTTATCGTTATTTCATGCTATAGCAAATCTTATATTACAATTTTATTTGCATCGAAACTTTGTGATCTTTTACTGCTCCAAATAATATAAGAATTTACCGAAAGAGAACTTAAAGGAAAGGCAACATATGCGTGGTATACATACGCCGTATATTTAAGCATTACTTTTTAAATTCTGAAACCAATATTCATTTTAAAACTTGACAGGGAGTAGATGAAAAGCATAAAAATGACTACTTTAATAATTACTTGATATTTGGTATTGACGATGATAGTGAACAGGCCCATATTTTCCACCCAAGCGAGGATTACTTCATTAATTAGAGAACAACTGACTACTCGAATATATGGCACATTATCTACAGTCTTTTGAATATCAAATGTCGCCTCTACGACAAGCTGGTTAGCAGATATTGCTAGTGTCCCATATGTAGGTACTGTCATCGAAAGTAACGGTAATGGTTGTAAGTGACCATATAATGTACCTGTGATGCTTTAACACTGATTTTAGTTGACAATTTCATTGCGAATGGCTGAGAAAACCGTGGTATTCCTTTTCACTAAACCAATTATTAGTAATGATAGCTATTCCTCACTTCTTCAAACCAATTTTTGTGAGAATTTAGCCGAACCTCATTTTTTCTATTTACATCAAATTATACTAAAACTTACTAAAAGTTAAAGCCACTAATCCTAATTGTTAACAGATTTGGTGGTGTTGGTACTACTCCAACGTACGATGGATTTTGATGTGCGACGAGTTGGAAATCCTGAATTTTAACACATCCTTCTGGAAAACATTGCTGTTGAGGAGGAATTATCACCTGTTTAACATACTTCTTGAATAAATGATCTGAAATGGAAAGTTAATTGATTGACAAAAAGTTTCAAATTTTGTTATCAATTGAAAGATTAATAAACATTTGGATTATAGAAGCATCTTCATGGTCAATATCTTCAGTTGGTTTTGCATTATGTACAGCAGCTGTAATATACTCGATCAGAAAAGTCGAAATAATTTACAATATAAATTGTTTAAATAGTCAAAATATTTAATATTTTATAAATATTTCGCACTGAAGTGATTCACCACACAAAATGAATATATTGAATGTAACGATGTCTAATATGATGGATTAATTATCTATATCTTATTTTTGTTTCTGGTTCCAAGTTTTTCTTCAGTGTAAAATACTAAGAAACCAATTCAATTCACATGTAAATATTCCCGCTTTCATACATTCATTGATTGTAATCGTCTCTTTTTTGTACACAATTTTTTGTATCCAAATGGATTTCACAAATGTGCATGTTTGTAAACCATATCCACTATGTATATGAGTTAGAATCACAAAACAAATTTTCATCACAATTTCTTCTTCGAAATCCATTTTTGCGCAGATTTCTTCTGCTGGGAACACCAACAATTCTTTTACCGATCATTTCATTAAAAAGGATTTCTTCGTAAAACAGCAATGAAGGAGGTTACACGACAAATATTTTGGTGCCAGAAATCAATACCAAAATCAAGATCAATATCGTGGAAGTTCTGGTTTTGTTTGCGGAAAAAATCTTTTTTAATGAAGTGGCCCGAAAATGATTTGTTAGTGTTCGCAGCAGTGTGATAAGCCGGAGCGATGATAAGTAATTTCGATGATCCTAATTTAGATACAAAGACATGTACAAAAAAGAGACAACTACAATCATTGAATATAAGGTTGGTATCAAAGCGGGAATATTTACATGTGAATTGGTTTTCAGTATTTTGCACTGAAGAAAAGTTGGACCAGAAACAAAGATGAGAATTAGATAATTCAATACATTAGACATCATAGCATTCAATTATATTGAATCACTTCAGTGCGAAATATTTATACAATATTAAAAACAAAGAAACACAAACTATTCTGGACAAATACTTATATTGCCGATTATTTTGATTTTCTCAACACTTGTACATTGGTAATTAGTGCTGGTAATTACCATGGTATAATTTGAATTATGATTTATTGCAGTAATGCTGGCTATATCAAAAATCTGAATGAGCTATAATATCCAATCTTTTTTTTATGCTTTCAGTATTTCCATGCTCTGGTTTTTCTTCAACTTTTTAAATAACTGTTATTTTTTGGTATGAAACTTTCTGGCTTGGTTTAAGTAGCGAACTTCAAAGTTTTAAATAGATACGCATGAAGAAACAAAGCAATACCGACAACTCTGGATAATTGCTGAAAGATATCATCACTGAATCGCACTCGCAAAGCAGATTGCAGTGGAACGAAAATTTCACCGGGTGTTCCGAGACATTCGTCGGCTGTATTTGCTAACCACAATGCAATCTTTAAAACGTAACATTCATGCTTATATGAAATCCGAAGAACATTTTTTCATCGTTAAAAATTTTCCATTTCGAAATTTAACTTTTTTTGAAGTTCATTGAAGACGAAAAGAAAAGGTTATAAAAAAGGGTTCAGGTTTTACAAATAACAAAAGAAAGTGTGATAAATAATTTATTTGACCTCTGAACTAAAACATATTTCTCTGCCAATTATTTTATGATTTTCAGAAATATGGAACTCTAGGATCTATCTAAAACTTGTTTCAACAAAAAAAAAAAGAAGGGAAAAAATCTTAGATAGGCGCTCTTCAAATATTTGTGATATATGCTAAAACTTTTACTAATCCAATGAGCTAGCATTTCTAAGTGGGAATATGTTTAAGTAATTTTTGTTAATTGAAAAACAACAACATACTTGCATATTGTCATTTTTCTTCATAAAGTATGATAACAAATCATTTGATGTCATAGCAATTCACAAATGTGTATGTTCCATTTTAATGAACACAAGACAATTGCTCCATTTTGGGATCAAAATTTCTTTTGCAAACGTACCGTAACGAAGGCAAAATGATGGTGCATTTGAGAACAGTTCTGTGTATATCCCGCAGCACAACTCAATTGTGCTCGATTTGGTGTTCACTTGACAACTGTTCCAATTAGTTTTTAAGTTCACTGAACTCCCCCGGAAAAGAGTATTTTTAATTAAATTACGTTACTGTATGTTAGTGAGGGTCAGAGATCATGAAATAGTGAATTAAAGTAGCATCAATAATAGGTGAACAGGGTTGAAGTGCAACGACGCGGTCACACAGATAACCTTAATCTACAACCTTTGGCTAGCTAAACAAATCAAACAGATTGGAACAAAGTGCAACGAAGATAGAATAATCTAGAAATATCGCTGATTTTTACACAGCTGTAGGATCAGCAGAATAATTAGGATGCAGTTGCAGTTTTTCGCCATTATTTAGAGTCTAATTATTAATGATGGTGGATTTTATTTCAATTTTACACTATTTTACTGAGAAGCATATTTTGGAAAAGCAGAAATTTTTTACAAATTTGAAACCACGGTTATCCAAAAATAATATGATTGATGATAGATCGCCTTTGGTGACAACATTCAATTCATGCACAAAAATTTGAATTTTAGAAGAAAAATAAAGTAATTAAAAAATAAATTTCCTTTCAACGATAAAATGTGAAAAGGAATTCCTTTCAAAACAAAAATAAAACATCCTATTCCAGGTATTGCTAAAAATCTAATTTTGACATTAAGTACGAGAATCTCTAATAGATTATAATTGCGATTGTATCTCAATTAAGTTCAGCGACAAACAGTACAGTTCAAATTTACAATTCAAATTCTAGTACATATGCCTTATCATTTTTGCACTCCATAGTACAAGTTAGGCAGTTAATACAGAAATCATAAAGAAAACTATCATAAATCAGCATACATATACATATAACTATTTATTTAAAATGAGAATTTTGTTGCATAACAGGTAAAGAGTACACACAATTACCAGGTTCCATAGTATCTTAAACTATGTGGAAATAACCATGTCTTAAGTTGTTAAGTGAAACTGGTTCGGTGACCACCTCAATACACCTCATTCATATATGCGCATCTTCAAGGACAAATATTTTTCCGCAAAAAAGCGACAACTGATAGTCTTATAGGGAAGTAAAGATCGTAAGTTTGAAAGGTGGTGATTCCCTTTATGATACATAACTCCCACTAGTTGCTCAGTGTCCCTTTGAGAATTCCAATTCCACGCTGTTGAATTAACTTTCATTTCGTACCCCACTTTCTCTCTTCATGGTAATTGTTTCACCCAGTTCTGCATGTCACGATGTGCAAAGGACAAGCTTCTTAATTTGTTAAATTCAAATGTGAAGTGATGCATCAGTCTTAAATCACAAGTTTTTTTTTTCGTAAAACGGTAGCCAACACCATTAATAGAATTTCGAGCAATCTAAAAATCTTATCTATACAAACTCGGAAAGCAATTGCAACAGGAATTTTTATTGTGTAAAAAGTGATAAACAGCGACGGAGAAAAAAGACAAAGCAAATACGAGAAATTGTTGGTGAATTTGGACACTTTTAAGAATGTGAGTCATCTGAAATCTAAGAACGAGGAATGTGTTTTAGTATTAAACTGTATAATTATGCGTAGATTCACATTCCTGTAATATCTCTATACACTTTTCTCAGCATTAAAGAAAGGATTTCAGACAAAGTTCATTCAAAAATGGCCAACGATGGAATGCAACGCAAAGCCAGATAAAATTAGCTACCACTTAGAACAGTTGGCATTTCTCCAACAGTTTTCCTTCGAATCTCTAAAAACTTACAAATTACCCAAACTCACCAAAATTCACTTTTTCTGCTTCGAGGTAAACTAACATATAAAGTAGTCCTCTCATCAGTATCAAATCTACTATTTCAGAATCTTCAAATAAATCCACAGTAAAAATCAATCTGCATAATACGAAGATTTAACTAATATAATGGATTTTTCGTAATTTCCAAATTTTACTCTACGATGCATTTCACTTATAAATAGATCTAAAGAAGCGAAAGAAAGTTCTAAACTAACTGTGACTGACAAGCAAAATTCGACAATTGGTGGACGAATTGAAAGACTGACAAAACGAATCAAAGAAAAACGACAACTAACTGAAACTTATGTAAGGAAGCGATAAAACCTGGTCGATATTTCCTTTCCAAACTTCCACTTTCGATATTATTGACAGCAAAACATTCCAACTGCATTTCGCCATTTTTTACACTTAAACGATGTGTTCACAAACCCAACTTCTTCCGTCACATAATTCTAACAAATATCCAAAAGAGTTCACACAACACCAGTTTTCTTTTTGAAACAAATATTATACAGTGAACTTTGAAAAAAAGGATAGTACTGCAAAATCTAGCAAAACATAACTATACGAGATCAATATATATAACTCCATTAGCAACAATAATGGACATCTATTTAAAAAAAATTTGATAAAAAATATGTTAAAGCAAATAAGACGGCCTTTTGAGAATAAGAATTGCAAGGCAAAACAAACTGTAGCAGTGGTGACATAATAAAAGAGGCAGTATAAAAATCTGAAACAACTTACAAGGAAAATTTCCTGAAATTGGTAAAATCCAATAATAATGTTTAGAAAAAATCTGCACACATAACTTAGTACTGAGGAATGCAAAATGAGCAACGAAGCTATGAAAATGAATAAATATCTAGGTTGCTGCTGAAAGATAAACTTGGAAATGGAATGATATCAGAGTGATAAAATCAGTCATCAAAATTAAGACCTGTTGGTCGAGTTCTTCGTCGTTTGCTCGATTCTGATGTTGAGCCGTTTTCATGTTTTTCAGATTTCTAAAACAAATGAAACATTAGCAGTAAGCACCATTTTTACACAGCTTTTCAGTCATTCTCCTCTCTGATCAGAACACTTAAAATTTTTACACGAACAAGAAAGAGCAAATTTTACATAATCCTTCAAAACATTTTCTCATTTCATGATTTCTTGAAAAAATAGCAAATAATTATATTGGAGTATGTAATAAATCCAACTTCTCAATATTTCATTCATCTTGAACTGACCTTAGCTTGCTGATTACTTGCTTACTAATCAAAGTAACATTAAAATTTTTTGAATTACGAGAAACTGCCATAAAATAATCTCGAACATTGCAACATGAAAAATGTAGTTCAAATGTGCAAATCTTCATACCTGTTTATTGTGTCCGTCATAAAGTAAGTTCCAATAAATCTTAACAAAATTACTTGCCTTTTTCTGATCTGATTGACTTCGCATCGTTTTCCGAGCGGCCATTGGCTCATCACCTATTCTACTTCTTAGTTGACGCTCAGACTACAACATACTATACCATTCTATTTTATCTATTCTAAAGCAAATTTCTATTAAATTTTAACAAAATTAAATACCTTCCTCTGACTCGACTGATTCCGCATTGTTTTTCGAGCAGCCATCTGTTCAACATCTGTTCTATTTCTTATCTGACGCTCAAGCTAAAATTATTCAGTATCAAAACACTCCGATATTTCAATGTATATATTAAAACGTTCAGAACGATTTTCCTAATTAAAGGTAATCTTCCTGTCAAATTTAACATTGCAGCCATTTGAAAAGACAAAAGTGAAAGTGACCATCTCATTTCAAAATTAAATAGCTTTAGTAGAAAGATGAGATCAATAATACAATCATTCTCCAACAATATATTTGTGCATAGTTTATTTTAAATTTGTGTGCAACATTACTTTCTGAAATAAGGTTTGGCACTGCTTCTTTGCAGCCAATGTAATTGAGATTGTTTCCAAGATAATAAAAAGTTTCTCCGTATTTGAAATCAACAATAACATGGGAAATATGGAAAAACTAAAAACCCTCGCAAGCATGAAGTTTAGTTTATTGAAGTGAAGAACCAAATTTAAACATGATGAACGTGTAAACAAATACAGAGCTTACCAAGCTCAAATAGGCATTAACAGCTCTTTCCAGCAAATCAACAGTTCTTAATTGCATGTTTGCATTAATAACACGGTTCAATTCGATCCTGTTGACAACGTGCACTAGAATTAGTTTGTCATCTGTTACTTCGGATACTTTCAGCGTTCTTCTAAGTATCATTTCTCTGAAAAACATGGAAGATTACCGTTCAAAAACCTTGCAACTGAAACACACAGCAATGTTGACTAACACAAATCTTAACAAGTGATAATCGAAACTACATTAAATATGATTAATGCATATTGTTAAAATTAATAAAGAAGATTATGTGCAAGAATAAAAAAACCATAAAAATATTAATGCAAAAGGTTCAATTTTTCAAAGCCGAAATCTGGAAAAGGATGCAATATATATTCCCGTGATTCAAAAATTAACTCCAGCAGCTACCAACAATTTTGCTATTATGTATCTAACTTCACTTATGGCACTTACGGATCCTTGTGTTCTATTAGTAGTCTCTAACTGGCATAAAAATAAGCAAAAATTTAAAAAAGAAAATGATCAATCAGATAGTACACACAACACACTTCAAATATTAAATAACACCTAGATTATAGCAGATGGTTCAGATCCGCAATATGCAATACAAAATTAAGCTCGTAATAACTCAATGATGTTTTCTTAAAATTGATGATAACACACACCAAACCACTGGTTATATTCTATGACTATAGCAAAATCTGTCAGAAATTTCTTTCTGAATAACTGTAATCAAATACATTCGCATGTAAACTTAAATATGTTTTACGACATGATAAATCATTTTAATAAAAACTGTCTACGGCTTGCGGTGTCATTGAGATCTTTAGGAAAAATGTCGAGTAATTGTCTGGTGTTAAAAACTAAATTTGGAAGTTTGGGTACTATTATTGAGGAAGATCGTGGAGATGGAGAAACAACTCATGAAGGTAAGCAAGACGCTACTGATGTTTGACCGTTGACCATATATGAACTTTGCTACTTTCTTAATCAACCTTTTTCTAATCTGTAATTAATTCTTTCCTTGATCACTACTTACTTTCAGCAAATAAGCATATGTATACATTTAAAATGGCCATCACAATCATAGCTTTATTAAGAATCCATAAGTGTTTCAAGTGATGATTACGGTCACTTACGCTCGTTATGAGCAAATAATTATAGTAACTCATTTGACTTTGTTAGACATAAGAGAAATTAATTCATAAAAGTTGATATTCAGAATTGTTTTAGTGCCTTTGATTCTACGCCTAACACAACGTGAAACTGAACGGCCACATGTTACTTGGGCCGACGGCACTATCGATAATGAGCATCTGGGAAGGATGAAGAGCAATTGCTGCTGCATATGGGTAAAACCACGTGTCTGGGATGATCCAACTACGTGGGAACAGGATGAATATGAAGTATGCAAATATAGGATTTTATATAATTTGAAGGAAATAGTCAAAGGGAGAGAATAAAGAGGACTCAAATTGTATGTAGTTATTGGCAACAAATGGTTCAGGATTTTCTTATGGGTGTTCCTTTAGTTGAGCTAGAACATAATGGAGCAGCAAAATAAAGTTGCATAACCGGAATTTGCTCCTTACAAATTAATCAACACCACCAATGACACTAATTCTAGACAGAAATTACTATTTTTTGCATGATGTCATCCAGAATATTCCTGAAGCTTTTATAGGTTGAGAACTGTCGCGGACATACTCTTCAAATGCCACCGCAGCCAAATGATACAAATTCAGAATCAATGCATGTGAATTGAAACTTCATAATTTTTTTATAAGAATTATTCTTGATGACACAGCAAACAATCAATAAACTACGCTCTGTGTTGCGATATCAATACATCACTTCGTGACCAGCTAATGTTATTCTCAATAATTTTTTGGATACTACTGATATCGAAAAGCGACATTATCCCAAATTAAAATCTTTTTATCAACCTAAAATTCATTACAAAAACTCAGTTAATGCAGATTCCATAAGTTAAAAAAAGAAATTGTAAGTATCAATCCGTCTAATGCACAGGATTTTTTTTTAAACCGATCTAACAAATATAGTCTATTCAATACTTACTGCCAAGACTGTTCAAGAAGTGATTCAGAGACATTTCCAGCAAATTCAATTTGGTCTTTAGTTGTCATCGCTTTTTCGTAGGTTGACGTCTAGAAAAATGATTAACTTACATAACATGCTTACGTTCCTAAAAGTCATGATCGCACTTAAAAGCTATTGCATTATTTCCCATATGAAATAATTTGCTCTAGATGAAGCATCTTCTTTATCAAAATATGAAATCTTGAAATATATTCAATTAAAAACTTACCATGCTATCCGTAACAGTCATTACTGAACGGGGTTTATCGAAGTAAACGAACCATCGGCCTGCACCATCATTGATTACGCAACAATGAAAACTGTCTTGCGGCATGTTGATTTGGATTTTAAAACTCAAAATCTTTATGATTGGCAAAAGTCTCAAAAATTCAATTTTCCTTATTTTTTTAAAAAAATTATGTCGATCAGTAATTAAAGGTAATTAAAAAAAACGGCACCTTCTAGAATGACTATAAATTCCAATAAATAATTTCTCATAGAAAAACTACTAGTTAAACAAAACAATAATAGAAATGAAGTGTAAGTTTACTGCGTAATTAATGATAAAAAGTATTATCCAGCAATAAATTCTTAAAATTTCCATAGTAAATTTAGAAAACACGAAATTAAAAGATTGGAGCATGAGGAAACAATATAAAATTTTACAAAATTAGCATTCTGTGTAAAAAATAATCCTAGTGCGAAGTAATTCAAAAGTGGATGAAAATAGAAAAAGCATGAAGGCACAAATTAGAAATACATAAAAACAACATATAACCAATAAAATCTATTTGTAATTGATGAATGCTTCCAAATCAATTGGCAAACTTCCTATATCTTTTCCTAATAATCAAAACGTTAACCAATTAAATTTAAGAATAATTTAGCTAACTGAATTCTCAAAACAAATGATTCTCAAGCTGTTCAACCTCTAGCCGCGCTGAATTCCACCGATTATTAATTTTATTGATTTGAAAATAGCATACATGAGTGTACAAATTCAGCAAAAAAAAAAAAAAAAGAAAAGCTGACCGGTTCATTAATCAACAGCAAAAAAATATCTCACAAAGTTATTCGTTATCAAAACGCGGCAACACAGTACAAGTCAGTAAAGCGTAGGAGAGGTAACTGAAGGAAATAGGATAAGTTGTTATATTAAATGAAAAGTCTCAAAAAACTCAAGCGGAATCCACCTTTCCATATCCACTATGAATTTACGTAAAGCGTACATAATACGCTGGCTATAAGTAATGGACTTGACCGCGTGAAGTGATTTACTACTATCTATCGGTAATCATAAATTTGCGCGGTTGCATTGTGATATACATCGACATATTCTGATGAAGGGGGATATTGTAAAACATACCAGTCATGTACGTACATCAAAATAGCCAAGGGTTGACCAAGAATCAATGATAACCACATAACGATGTTTCCAGGAAGACCACCTTTTAGCACTTTTTCAGTAACAAAGCTGAGAGGTATTTGAGCCATCATGCAAAGATATGCCCAAAAACGAAACATATGGAGTGGAACTGATACCTAAACATGTAAAATATAAAATCGATCGTCAAATAATATGAAATGGAAAAATTCAATCAAAGTGTTAATAGGCTTTTAGCATAACATTTTATTTGTTATATGAGAATGATTATAATCACTGTTTTCATTTAAACTATAAAAAATTGATATTACTGAGACCGGCTACAAGCTGGAGTATTATTTTATAGTTTGCAAGCAAAGTAGACAATTCATGCTAATTTTATATCTCAATATTATTATGAAACTTCAAAGGTAGCAGGAATAGCCGTCCAAAAAAAAAAGTTATCAGTAATAATTTCTTGATTTCAAGATATCTTCATATATTAACTCCCTTAAATTGTTGAACTTATGCCATAAGACCATGATTTTATGAAAAATGAAATATCACTAACAAGATATTCATGAAAAAATGCAGACACGAAGAAAACGGCGCATGCAGCACTCATTTTACTAAAACCATTACATATCATTGGTCGATAAATATGCCGAAGAGCCCAACGATGTACAGGTATATTCCATGTCTTCCAAAACACTGCCAAAGTTTCTGCATTCCAAAAATCTCTAAAGAAATCGTCATTCTCTAATTACCATAATAACTCAACATTGCTATAGATTTAGATCTTTTTTGGTTCATGATCTCTCATTCAGTGTGAGATATCAGGATATTAATTCGGCATAAAAAGATATTAAATTACTGTAGATTTGTTAGTCATTAACTGTCTTTATGAAAAAAATCCAATTAGCAAGAAATGGGAAATATATTGCAACCAACAGCAATGTACAGCTCAATTCAACGGCCAAACCCATACCACGAACTCATCAGTATTTCATAATGTATATTTCTGCCTGCAATCCAGGAGAACAGTTATGAATTTGGGTTCTTCAGCCCCTTAATTCAACATATCACCCATAAATTTTTTTTAAACTTACAAGTAGAATTGTCTATCGGCAAATTCCATTAGCTCAGCGATAAGATTAAGAAGAGAATGGAAAGTAGTATAGAAAGAAATTAGCCAAATTACATGATTTGGCACAGCTAATTTGAGAACCCTTTCAATGCACAAGCCAAAATTCATCGTTGTAAATGGTTCCACACTATTTCGTAAAAGAGGCGCTACCCATTGTTGACACAAAGCTATTATGATCAATGTCAGACAACCAAACTAAAATGTAAGCTTATATAACATAAAATAAATCAGAGAACTAAGAACAAGATCAGTTTTAAAGCTATGAAACCATTTTTAAATCAGCATAGTTTTCTTAACAATGCTTCTAGAATTTCAAAAATAAATGATATGAAATTAAGAAATTAGGTTTTTTGCAAACAAGCAAAAAACTAAACCTCAGCAGTTCGCTTCAAGATGAATGATTTCCTTCGTCCATTTGTTCGTGGAAATTGCAATTCATAACATAAAGTTGGAGCAAATATGAAATAGTACAAATTCTGCAGTGTTAAATTCCGCGGATATGACGGTAGCATTTTCTGCAAAGATTTGAACTTTTGATCTAGAGATCAGTGATTACTTTGGGATGTTTCCTTTTGCACAACTTTCTCTGAAAAAGTGAGAAAAAAATTCAGAAAGCAAGGAAAACGTCAACCTTGGGATTATTTACAAATAATTGAAAGTTAGACATTTAAAAACTACGAAATGTTTCGGAGAAAAAAGTTAACAAAAAAGCCAATACTGCAGATTATAGACTTTGGATTTCATTTGTAGGAAAAGATGCGAAGCAAAACAACAAAAAAAAAAAAAAATGACGCCACAGCGAGTACAGTAAGAGATAGAAAATCAATGAGCCGTGCCATATGGGATTACAAAGTAATTACAAAAATAGTATACACAAGGATAAAACAACATAAAAATTTATAAACAGAAAGAAGGAAAATGATTTTATAAGATAAAAAATCATAACCATGTAAGTGTGACCATATGAACATAAAGAAATGCTCTTTAGGATCTATTTCCCCTATTTCTTCAGGATCTATCATCGTCTAAATTAATTATTAACCCTAACCAATAATTTTCGAAATTATTTCAAGAATGCCTTTAAGAAAATTTTTTAAGCACCAATTGAAGAAAATTATTCGGCACATAGATCTTGGACAATTAACAAAGCTACAGTTTTTAATATAATATGGATAAACTAAAGTCTATAATAAAAATGCAAGTAAAATCGAGAAAGATAAAAGGTAAAACATTATAAAATAGAATAGCAACTAGGAAAAGTCACCGGTTAGTTTTGATATTCATTGCACGCTTTAGGCGACATCGAAAGCACTTTTCTGGGTTCATCTTTCAATAGCTATTAGTATGAAAAGTACGCCTAAAATCTATCATCTCAGGATGCATTTTCAAACGGTGTAAGATAACCTAAAAAGTTAAGGTAGAATGACATAATGACTAATGAAAATTTGGAACGTTCATTTTCACAGAAGTTGCAATAAATTGCACAGAATGAATAAAGTAATTAAAATTAAAAAACCGATTTTACAAATGAAAAATTAAGTTCTGAAAGTACACGCATTATTAAAAAAAAAGAAAACATTTCAAACATACAAAAAAAATAAAAGGGTACAATTAAATGGACAAGAGAACCCGAAGCAAAGTACCGAGAAAAAACTCTTAGTTTACCTTAAGATTTCTGTTCGTCGTATTCATACATCTATACCAGTAGTTTGTATGAACATATGAGATTAACTTCAGAAAAAGTATTACATATGTCGACAAAGAAAGCACAGAGTATAATGGATAACTCTGAAAACAAATTAGTAATGACACTCTAATTTCTAGAATATAAAGCCTAATTAATTGGCAAGGAAGCTGTATTCATTAATTCCAAAACTACCTGCAAAATCCAAGTGACTACAGCAGGTATGAATATATGTAATGAAAATAGACACAAGTAGAAGGCGAAAGCCAGTTGACTGTTAAGCCATTTCCATGCTGAAATATCTTCATCCTAACTTAGAAAATAGAGTCTCATTGGCTTTCGACTAGTTTTTTATATAAAATCCTTCAGGTACATCAAATTTTTTGATTCGCCCCATTGTTTAACATACCCATTAATTTTTCCATAATAAAGACAATGAAAATGGTTATGTTCGACATGAGTACCATTGCCAGATTAGGCCATTTCCACCAAGGATCCATCGCAATGAAATAAATCCAACTAGTTGGTGATACTAATACTCCATACCTACAAATTATGAAATGAAGAAAGTTAATTAACAATAATTTAGTCAGTACTAGATTTCACCACTTGCTTTATGAAGTTTTCAAGAGCAACACGACCATTTGATACGAACAGCAGAAGAACTGCTAGATTAAAAAATCCTCGGTAATCCTTCCATCCGGAACTCCCACTGAACAGTGAATCTTGCGCTACATGAACTGGCTTTTCTGGATCAAAGCTATTTCTGAAAGGAGTAAAACAGATATAATTGACTGGACAACAGAGATGAAATTCATTTAAACAATTGTAAATATATAGCTGACATTCAAATATATTGAATTTACGGTACTATATATTAACTTAAGATCCATTCAGAGAAAAGAAAACACCACAAAACTCACCTTTTAACAGTAAATGAAGTAAGTGAAGATTGACTTGGAGATGAAAAAAAATTTGCATCATTTGATTGCGAAGAGGGTGGTCGTCTTCGTAATGAGTGTTTATGACCATTCATTCTTCCTAAAAATTTCGTGGAAAGTACCAATCTTAACAGAAACAGAAATGTGAAGTGGTCGATTAGTGAATACCAAGAGAACCAAGTTTGGCAGTCGATGCTTTTCTTTCAAAGTAAATTGTGAATGAGTATACTACAGATAATTATACGAAGGTACATATATGCAAGCATAGGTACGCTTTAACTAATTTCAGAAAAAGAGCAACAACTAATAGCTTAAACATCTTCAATGAAAAGCTCAGTAAACCATTATCAAACATTCCTTCGGAGTACACAAACCATCTCATTACAATAGTACGAGAACATAATATATTCTCAAATCACGACGATATGTAACAAGCAGAATGTTTGTACATGCCGTAGTAATTTCGAGGAAAAAACTAAAAAGAATTATAGCAGTCTTTGACGTAGATTCATCACATATCCGTTTTATTACATAGTCGCTGACCCTCTGTTCCTCCTCTAATCTCGCATTTCTTATCAGTCTTCCCATCACACAGCTCCAAGCACTATGCCTATTCTAAAATAAAAATTTCTATGCTTTTCCATCCTTCCCTCAGTCATTTTAAAGTACGGACCGACCATCTCTTTCCTTGTAAATGACTATTGCATCTGAGTGAAGACACAGTGTTAAACCACGTAATAACGAATTAATCAATACATACACGGACTACTCAAACCTGAAAGGAAATGGACTGAAGTGACGGAAGTCAATCAAGTTTTATTTACGTGAGAACCTAACATCACCGCCCTCGCTTACCACATCTGTCGTTTCCACCATTTTGTGCCTCTCCTGCAACTATCGCTCGTTCGATATCTCGTGCATGCAAATTTCTATCCCACCCAGTGCGCTTTTGGGATTATTTCCTGAAGCTTGGAAGAGCAGCAGTGGTATGGCCCAGAAAGGCCAGAAATTGGAAAGGCCAAGAAGAAAGCTTACAGTTGTGCATTTTTATTCGCTATGTAAATGCAAAAGCGCATTTATAAATAAATGAAGTTAATGTGCAACAGATATTCTTTAGTTGATCACTTGGCGCAACGGTCGCACTGGGCACTTTTATTGTGAGTTCTTTTCATTTTCATTTTCATCGGTTCGAAGTGGGAAAATGGTTATGACGAATTGAAGCGTCTTTAAAAAATCCTATATGAAGGAATGAAATTTGATAAGATGATCAATTCAAATAAGATTCCTTAATGTAGTGTTCAATTAATGCACCAATATTTTGTTAGTGGAAAGTTTAGGTATTTGGATTCGTTACTTGTTTCTGAAACGACAATTCAACATTTTTCATTCCTACTGATGACTTTATGAATGACCTTGTGGCGGCAAAAATGAAATCAAAAAATAAGGTCATGTCCCTTCAATAAATGCACTACTTTCTTGTTTGTTTACATCTTTCCTTCCACAAGTTTTACGCAGCTGAAAATTTGCCGGTGTTGACATAACATTAAGTATGTAACGATAGAAGAAATATTTCTTTTTTAAAATGTAAAACAAATTTGTAAACTGTAGAAACAATGTTCAGAGGATTGCGACGCTAATGATATATAAATAAATGTAAGACTGAATTTTAATTAAATAAAGGTGATATGGGATGGCCAATCCTTACCCATTGTTATTATATCAGCAACAAAACGTGGAGGTTACCAGATACAGTAACTAGTCGGATAATTTTTATATATTTGACCATTTGATATTTAACTTTAAATTTTTGCAAGGTAGAACATGCTAGTGGGATAATTTGAAGCCATCGTTCACGCAAAGTGACTTAAGCAATTCAAAATAAACTTTGTTTTTAGAAAACGGCTGAAAAATCCAAAGGCAATGAAAATTCAGCAAGTTTGGCAGGAAAAACCGAAACGGAAACTACGGAAATCACAAGCAGGGGAACTGTCGAAAATATATCCTTCTCTTCTGAAGTTATACAATTTTGAACGAAATTAAATTGCTTCTACTCGTCAATTCATTATTATTTCACTTAATGTTTGCTTAATTCTAAGCTTGGTCAGATACTAATTTTTCCATTTTCTATTATGGAAACATTCCTGATTTTTTTTTTTTGTTGGATTTGTTGCATTTTCTACTCCTTTGTTCAGGAAAATGAACAATCCGGAATTGAAGCAGAATTGCCAATAGGAGTAAAGACAAAAACTTTCTTGAAAGATGGAGAAACAATTGAAATTGATAAAAAACGGTACTTTTGAAGTTTCATATTCTAATAAGCGTAAAATCTTGTATTATGACCACACACAAATAATCAAGCTTGTTTATGTTTATCTTGAAAGACTGCTTAGTTAGCAAGAAACATCAATTAGCACACTTGCTTATTAGTCATTAAACTTCTGTAGAGTTTTTCACGTCATTTTTGTACTTAGAAGAATCCGTTAGATGCCTTAAATACCTTATTGAAATAAATTTATTTTCATGAATTAAACACAAATGGTTTTTTAATTTAAATTTCGAAGGAATTTCAGTTACATTATAGATGGACCAATAAAAGGTGATTATGGTATTGTTGGTCTAATGGAAAGAGGAAACTCAAAAGCATTGTTTGCTTTGCATTACGAAATACGAAACTGCAAAATTAAAAGGCTTCAGGTTTAATGAATTTGTTGACATCCAAAATTAAAAATTAGAATTATTGCTATATTTGGATTAGTGTTCTGAATTTTATTTGTATTATAAGAACATGAAGCAAAAATAGATTTTTTGAAATCAAATACAGCCAGCGATATTCTAAAATGCTAAATTTGAAAATCAGAAGAATATGGTAGAATTATTAATTTCAAATGTCTGTAGGTAATTAATGCAAATTACAGGTCGAAATAAACGTGTTGAAAAGTAGCAAAAAAGTCAGAAAACTAACGCATATTTTTCCCTTAATTTCACAAGGAAAGAATACAAAAGTTAATATAAGATATTTTATGACAAAAATGGTAAGCTGCCTTAACATATACATAGAAATTATGAGTATGTGCCTGGAAACAGTTCTGGTCTTTTAAATTATTTCTTTAAATTGAAATAAGAAATCGAAATTTCAATTGTTGTTGGTTTTTGATTCTTGCTAAGCTTGAGGAATAGTCTCTAGGATCTATAACATTTCCAACAACAGTTATTTTCTTTTAGACATTTTTTTGAGCTTTTACTTACCTAAAGTAACGAATTTTGTTTAATTAAGAGTAAGACCTTTTTTTCCTTGAGATAAAATTTGGATTGTCTGAATGATAATAACTGTTGATTTGTGTAATGGTAAGGAATATTCGATCTGCAGTTTGGCGAAACGATCAGTGACCTCCGTGATAGGTTTGGAGAATTTTCCACAGCTACGAGCCTGAAACTTTCATATTTAGCCATTGAATGCATAGAAGAAATTCATAAGATAGGATTCATTCATCGAGGTAAAATTTTAACTTCAATAAACTTTTTCATTATTTCTCTTTTTCTTCTTAATTTGTTCAAGCTTTTCATGAGAATTTCCAAATTTTGCTTGAACAATTCTGAAAAATAAATAACGATTCAATTTTATATTTTATTGAGATTTCTTTTTTTTCAAGATATAAAGCCAGCAGTTTACGCAATTGGATTGGAATCAGAAAGAAGCCAGTTATTCCTTCTTGGATTTGGCCTTGCACGATGTTATAAAACAACAGACAAGAATGCATCAGTGTATGTGAATACATGCAAATATTTCATTGCAATGACTGATGATCATAATTCTAGAAAGAGTTTTACCTTAGAATTTGTTGGTTAATTTAATTTCAATCTGATCAAATGATAATTTAATAAATTAATTTACTTTACTTACTTTTGCATTCATTTTTTATGTTTTTTTTTTTCATAAATTTTTTAAACGTAGATACATTTAGAAAAAAACGTGATAAAGTGCATCGAATGGGCAATATCCATTACATGTCAAGGAGCTCCCATAAATATCTTGAACGCTCACGTAAGGATGATTTGGAAAGTTGGCTTTACATGATTGTTGAATTTTTCTTGACTACATCATCGTTGCCATGGGAAGATGAAAAGAACAATGTGACGGTGCTGAAAAGAAAGGAAGCGTTTATGAGTAACGGTAAAAATACTAATATTTAATAAACTCAACTATTTCTGTTTTCAGGGAATTCCATTTGATTCTTTTTTTTTCCACATGTTAGATCACTTAATTTTCTTGTGTTTATAGCAGGAACAACTTTTCAGCTCACTTATATATATTAATAAACTGAATTTACTCCATAGCCAGTTATAAATTTCAGCAAGAATTAAATGAATTTCTACTTCACGAAGTACTGAAAATCATCTTGAACTTGAGTGTAAATATGTTTTGAATGGTTTACTTGACACTGTTCACTTTTCTGAAACAAAATGTTTAAACTAACTACCACTACCTGGCAATTTCCTTAACAAAAATTGATATGTTATAATTAACTAAAATCTTACTTCTCCTGTTTTATATTATATTTTGAAAAATTTCTATTATTCATTTAACATTTTGCAGATTATCTCAAAATATTTAAAAAATGTAAAGGATTGCCAGCTGGTGTAAATACCATTTTACGTCAAATAAATAGCTTTCAATATGACACAAAACCGGATTATCATTTAATTAAAAACATCTTTCGGAATGCTATTGTGAGCGGCAATTATAAGGTTGTTTACTGCCTTCTGTAATATGTTTTTGAATCAAAAGGAAGAGAAATTTTATCACTTCTAACTTTCTAGAGCGTCAAGTTCGGTTAACAACAAAGAGATTTTTTGCATGACATCTTGAAAATTAGATAGGTTTCAATCAAAATTTGAATTAAAATCTACCTAATGGAGAGAAAATACGATTTTACATATCATTTGTTTTTCTTGCTTTTATTCATTGAATTTGAAAGTCAATTTATAATAGTTGTCTCGGACTTAATTAATTTTGTTGCCAATGGTAACATTTAGTATTTTATTCTTAACATTCATGTAAGTGTGTTCTTTTTTCATTTTGTCCTTTCTAAACCAATTCAGATATTATATCAGATGTCAGGTTATTGTTTAAACTATTTAAATTCTGTGACTTCTAAAACTATATATGGTTGAAGAATCTGATTCTCGAAAATCAATGTCTGTTACAGTCTGAGAAACTGGACTGGCTGAAAGGTAAAGAAGATGAAATGGTAGCAGCAGGCGCATGTGAATCCAAAATTTTCAATGTAAAATCTGAAAGGGAAAAAGAATTCAGCCAGCGCTCCCAGAGATCGATTAGGCAAGAAAAGAAGGGATGCGATTTGGAATCGAAAGCTATTGACGAACAACGTTCTGTATTTATGATGCCGAAAATTAACAGTCCCAAATGTACCTTATAATAATTTTGGCGGATAATGAATAAGATAAAAAGATTAGATTAGCCAATCGGTTATAAGCTAAAGTAAATGAAATAGGGTTAACTGATTAATATTATTTAGTAATTCGTTGATTGGCTCGATTTACTGGCATATTTGGCCACTTTCAGCAATATTTAAATGGCTTCGTCAAAGATTTGTCAGCTGTCCAATAAATTTTGCAGATGATTAGTGCTCATTCGTGGACACTCCACTAGTATTATTAGCAATTTAATAGCTTTGTAAAGATGATGGAATAAGAATAAGAAATTCAAAGCAGATGATTCAAAATTTTTTGAGTTTTAGCGACATTATACATATATAATTTATTTCTAAAATTATTACAATTTCAGCAGAAACACTAAATCTAAAAGATGCGAAAAGCTGTTACTACACGCCTACGATCAATGCTGATAAAAGTTCATATATGTTGGAAACGAAGGCTTCCAAATCAAAGTCTGGAATGAAAAATACGAAATCGAAATCACGAAAATCTCGAAATCGTTAATTCACATGTCTCCGGTCATCTATAATGTCTAATTGATATATTCCTTTGAAATTTACAGGTTTTACATGAACTCTGAGCATGATCTAATGAATTTCAGATAAAATATTCACATTATTGTGCTGAGTATTGACGTTTTTAAAATATAATATAATGGAGCTGGAAAAATTTATCCAATTCAAATGTTTTTCGAAATATGTTTGTTGAATGAAACCAAAAAATAAGTTCAAATTGAAGTTTGTATCGCAAAAATGAATTTATGGGAATTATTGGACATTAATTATTGGGAATTATTGGCCGATTACTGTTGGGCATGCTGGATTATTTAACTCCGCATTTTCTCGAGTCTTCAAGAATTCACAAACTGTCAAAAAAAGTGCTTGGAAAATAAACTTACACTGCTTGAGTTCGATCATTATTTAACTTATTTGTTTTTATTAATCCTGACCATCCTTTTTGGTTTTCTTGGACTTATGTTCTTTTAATTTTTCATGTATTTCTTACTATGTTATTTTATGGCATTTTTGTAGCAGCAAACAACCTAGAAGGCTTATTAGTGATCAGGATTTGTTTCTCTGCTTTTACAAAATTTTATTTAGCAAAATATCTTTATTTTAGCGATTTTTTCTTTCGTATTACACGCTCTCATAAACAATATAAATAAAGAGATCAAATAATTTATAATACGATGCATTTTATTACAGCAAATATATGAAAGGCATTGGTGAAGATTAAGTTTTTAAGTTAAGTTAAACTCCCATAGTCTGGATGGCAACGGATTGAAGCAAAGTTGTGAAAGTCTGTCTCAAATAGACTTTTGAATTTCAGATAAATCAGAATCAGACTGCCTATGCAGACAACTGAATCACAGATACGCAAACAACAGAATGTACAGAATATTCAACAACGTAAACAAAAAGCGACAAACGTACAGGTATTTACATTATGTATTTAAATTTGGGAAATAAATCAGACGATACATCTTCAATAATACCAAAAATTCTTTTAAATGACTAGAGATTAAGGGAAAGAAAAAGTAGAGGAACACAACGGCTAAGAGATGACAGATTTAAAGCCCATAAATTAATTTCCTCAATTAATTGAAACCATTCTAAATGCTAGAAAACAATTCTGAATTTTTATTAGGTACCATAAAACGGATGCTTTAAGGACATTTAAGAATTGTTCAATTTTGATTTGCAGTCGTAGCTGCTATTTATAAAATCTGACTTTGATTCATGCAATTCTGAAGTAATGACTGATGATTTGATGAGTTTGATGACTTTAAAGAGTTTGTCATACTAGGAGATAAGAAATCGTCGGATGTGGATGATGGTAATACTACCTTCATTGGTGGAGGGTATCGTTTTTCCAGTAGTGATACTACTTCGGTGCGTATCGCATTGGCATAATCGCTACTAATCGACCGATTATTACAGGAATCCTGGAATATTCCACAGATTTCAATAATTTAAAATGTACAAGTAAAAAATTTGTGCAAGAACAGTTCTGCACGTATAAATTCATAATCACTAATTATAAATTAGTAATGAGAGATTATAAATTGAAGTAATGCTAAGAAAATGGTATTTTCTGAATCTGTTGACTAATTTGCTCACAATAAGTCTCAACCGCATGCAGAAGTCTGAAATGTCGAGTCTAAAAATGAACTAACCACATCAACTACAGGCTTACGAGATCCAGCTACTGCATTATGCAGTGTCATGGTTGATAAAACATTGTCATTGCAGTTGCTTGCTGCTTCACCGCTATCACATGTCTCTGTACTTCCACTTGGTAACTGACCATTAGCCCAAAGAGATAATGGCCTAGATTGAGTTCTATCCAAGGTACAGAATGGCTCAGATGATTGCGGATGATAAGGAGTGCACACATTAAAGTTAACTCCATCACCTAAAGGAATTTCCTCAATTTCAATATCAAGATTTGTGAGAAAATCTTAAGAATTATAAGTAAATGGTCTAACATTCAGAAATTTACTATAACAATAAATATAACAAGCTAGATTATTTTGATAAATTATACAAATTATTTTGACAAGAAGCACGACAAACCTTTTGTAGGTAACGGATCACAGTCATTGGACGGAATTGTTTCAGTATACGAATTCAGTATCGTATTAATGGTACTTTGAGAATAATTATTTTGCGACATCGCTTCAGTAACCGAAGAAGGACTCTCCGGTAAAGATGAATTATTAGGAGCAGACTGCGATTGTGACAGTCGATGAATGATCGCGGGCAAAGGCATACTTTGCATAACTGGATTCTAAAACCAATTAAATAAGATAAATTTTTAATTATTTTAGAAGCCAAACATGAATCACTATTGCTAGAATTTGATGTGCAAAATTTAATGTGGTGCGATGGCTTAATAATGAAATAATGTTCATGCATGTCCACATATTCACATATAATTAAAATTCGAGTATATACTTGAAGCATAGAATCCAAATTTTCAATAATGTAGTCAAAATGCGGTCGATCAGTATCGGCGGTACTCCAACAAGCTAACATCAAACTGTAAATTTGATCAGGTATACCATTCGGTGGTTCCAATCGCCCCCCATTCACAATTAGAGACATAACCTAAAAATTAAGTTATTCATATTTGTAAATTACAAAAAAAAAAAAAAAAAACTTAACGAAGGAGCTAAAAGTAACTTACTTCTTGATTACTTCTCCCCGGATACGGCATATATCCAAGGGAAAAAATCTCCCATAATAGTACGCCGAATGACCAAACATCAGTTTTTACTGTAAAAACGCCATCAAGAAAGGCTTCAGGTGGCATCCACTTCACTGGTAACATTGCTTTACCACCCTTACGATAATAATCTTGCCTTAAATCTGTTTGATTAAACAGAACGCAAGTACAATCTTTCCAGTTAACTTGCATTGACATAAATTAATTTTATTTCATTTAAAAAAAGCCGTAGCATTATTTTCCTTATAGCCGTGACATTATCAAATACGTTTTCCCTAAATGTGAGGTACTCTTTTTCAATCTTTCCCAACTTTTTGAAAAGCAACAAACCTATAAATATCCCTTGCCATACCAAAGTCAGCAATTTTAACAACACGTCCTACTTCTTTCTTGGTTAGTAAACAATTTCTAGCAGCAATATCTCGATGTATAAAGCGATTATCAGCAAGAAATTTACATCCTTTGGCAACATCTTGAGCCATATCAAGCAGATCAATCATTTGAATCCGTTGGTCTTGGGTCTTAAATGAAGACTTGTTATTATTAAAGATGTAAAGGTTAAAAATAAATAGTAAAACAAAAAGTTAACAGAATGTGTGAAATAAAAAAGAAGTAAAAAATGAGGTGAATAGGAAGATATGGAAAAATTCTAACTGAAAAATAATTTTAAAGTGCGATGAAACAGAAATACTGCTGACATTTTTAGGTCTACATTCGCGAAGAAAAGATTTCAGGTCACCGCCAGCTAATAGTTCGAGAATGATGAGTCTTGGAGTCACATCAAAACACACTCCCATAAGTTCGCAGATGTTCTCGTGCCGGAATTTGCTTGAAAATGAAATTAAGCAGTGAAGCATTAACAGTGAAGCATATTAAGTAAAAATGAAGTAGGTTTGTGTTTTTGTTCAGTTTTTGCTGTTTTCACATATTTCAACGTCTTCCATAGACATTCTTGATAAAAGCAACGAGTGATCCGTTTGATTTTTTTCTGGATAATGAGCCTTCCACTGATATTTTCCTAAATTTCGATTAAAGTCAAAATAACTTTAAGAATACCTCATAATAAGTGCTTCCATTTCAAAATCATTTACTGCTTGCTTGGATGCGGTCTTCGGTAACGTTTTCACTGCAACCTGAACCGATTGACTACCACAGTTCAGTGTGCCCTCGTACACCTCACCAAAAGCTCCCTGTCCAAGTGGTCTGTAAATTTTATCCATTCGTACATTACTTGTGGTTTATCTGCTTGCAGTATTAATGCTCAAAATAAAATAGATAGTGTTCTTTGAACTTTTCTAGTCTTGGAAGTGTAAAAGAGAAACAATCAGCTTTATGAATAGAATTAACCTTATTAGAGCAACGTTAGCACGTGGTATAGGTTGAAGTTCAGCGCATGGGCCAAATGGTTCATAAATAGGATTTCCGGAAATACTCATAGGTGTACTTGGCGTTAAAGCACACATTCCTATTTCACGATTAAGCTCCACTTTCTCTATTTTTGCCTTTTTTAATCGTCTTCGAAAGTAAACACCTGAAAATCAGAATTTTTAGAGAGTTTTTTTTTCTTTTTCAACCTTTAAACCATTTATTGAAAAGATGAAACAAATAACAAAAAAAGAACAAAAAGAAAAAAAAACAAGGAAACAGACAAAAAAAAAAAAAAAAACATCACTGAAAGATTAACATTAAAATACCGATATAAGCTTCTATACAATTTTTGTGGCTCAGTTTCTCGATAACATGAACTTTTCTATTAATTTTCTAATTCAAAATCATTTTTAAAATTAATAATTTTGGATCGCAACTTTTTAAATCTTACAGAAACTTCCAAATGCACTCAGGAGAATGATAGTGCACAAAACGAATGCGAAAACAAGCATCACCAACAGGGATTCCTTCCGACGAATATTTATTTGCTTCTTCTTTTCTAAACTAGCAAATTTACAAAGCTCAGAAAACCACCGAATTATCACATTATAAAACGAAATGTTTATTTTGTATCTTTCAATATCAATTTTTTTTTTATATTTATTTATTTTTATTTTATTTATAACAACATTTAGCTTTACTTAAACATACGGTCGAGCTGTAAATTATTTTAAATTCATTGAAGAATTATCTCCTTGTAGAAATTTTGAGAAAAAAGTATAAGAAAAATTACTATTTTCGCCAAAAAGGCAGTCCTGTAACTCGCCAACTACCTGACCATCCGGGCAAGCACAATAAGAGCCAATTTCTGCGGTGCTGTCGAAGCGAAAACGGCAGGTTGCATTTTG